TGGGACATATGGAGGGGTGCTTGAAGAAAGGGATGGGGAGAGGAATGCTCAAATATTTTAATGGTTTTTGCTCATATTACATATATTTGGTGAAATTTGATATTTTTTTCCAAAAACAGAGGGTCTGAGGAGGTCGGCCCGGCGTCTAAGACTAGGTTTCAGACTCTAAGATTCTACCCGGGTTGAATAATTTGGATCAAAACTTCAAAATTTAATTGGACCAAACTGAAAATTTTTTTTATTTTATTTTTTAATTCATTTTCTTAGACTTTGCGGTTGACCGAAGAATCAAATATGCACAAATCCTTCAGCAACAAAACAAAATCTGAATTTGATGCTTGTATTCACGGATTTCATCAAGATTTAGGAGATTCTCAAGATCATTTTTTCTATAACATTGATTGTCCACATTTTGTAGATATTTTTTATATCTTAAAGAAGAGCTCTAGCGATTTAGTTGTTTTTTATCCCCTTTACGAAGTGTTTTTTAAAGCAATAGCACTCAATCCTCCTGATTGCTGGCGTTTTGAAGATCGAGCCAATGATTTTCATAATGTTTTATGATTGGCAGATCATGACACCATTTTTTTCAATGACAAAAACAGTCTGAACTGCCCTGTAACCGCTAAGAAAATTCGCAGAATAAATTTTTTTTTTAAATGAAATCATAAAATTTAACCCTGATAAAGTCATGACCTCAGAAAATTGGGACTTTTTACCATAGATTTGATGGATAAGTTTTTTTCAGAAACCTTTATCCCTGACTTTCTTTCAAAGATTTGTATGAGCTAACCTGTGGAGTTCATGTTTTTAGTCTAAAATGTTTGAAACTTTGAAAAAATAAGTGAAAAAATTGGATTTTTGGTACAGATGAGTTTGGTAATGATATCTCCAAGATAAAAGTAGAAGTTGTGAAACTAACTGAGAAGAGCAAGGTTACACTTTTATTCTTATTTATACAATCAAATTAGCATAATTTTCCTAATTCTCACAATCTTTGTATAGGCTCTGATACAAGACTACTCCAAAAAGGTAATGGCTTGACAAAAAATATTATATAAAACTGTTAAATCATTCCAATTGGTATTTTGGGAAATTTTTTCAATCTTAGTAAATTTCGGATAGATACAAAAAATGATTTTTATTAAATACAAATTAATAATAGAATTAATATTTTATTTTAATTAAATTTAGAAAATTTAGTACCTTATAAACTGTTTTAAAATACCTCGTCTAATTCAAAATTTCTTAGATTTTAAAATTTACTCTATAACTATAAAGGCCGCAATAAAAACCAAATGGCAAACAAATTGTTCCTAATATTTCAAATCTGCTGCTAATGTTTTATATAATAAAGCTATAGATATTTCTAAAAATGAAGATAGAATTTAATGTTTAGATGGATTTCATTGATGAAAATAGCACTCTTCTCAAAAACGCGGTTTGTGCTTTAGGTGAAATAAAAGTTTTAAGAAAAATTTTCATTTTATTTTATAAAGAAACAAGAAGTAACTTTAATAGTGGTGGTTAAATTTCTTTTTTTATTAAGGTTTTTTTCATTTTACTTTGGTCTACAGAGGGAATAAAAAAATATGGAATATGAAGACGAAATTTAAGCATTAATATGGGTATTTCATGCTGTTTTAAGCAAATAATTTTACCAGTATCCTAAAAACCAACTTATTAAGAAATTTTGGGTTGCGTACACCTCACCACTATTGTACTTTATGTTGATTGGACTATTAAAAATCAAAAATTGAGTTTAAGAATTGTCTTCCTTTTCCACAGTGTGATGATTCTTGCTGTATATTTATATTTGAAGATGAAAAGCTAGCAGAAAGTACAAAAGAGATTGGAAAAATATTAGAAGATTCCAAGAAGGATGTAAATCAATCTCATAAAAAGCTTGAAGAGAGGTATATTATTTACCCTCTCTGTCGAGTCCCCGTCCACCCTTTTATAAATTCTACCCTTCCCTTTTATGTAAAATGATATGAAAACTGTAATTACTTCAGAAGAAAACGACAAAAACCAACCATATTAAACAAAGTATTTTGGTTGTTTCAGGTGTACTAAAAATAGCTGCGAAGGACAAAAATTAATGAAGAAGGTTCAGAACGAACTGAACCTTCTCAAGGATAGGAGTTCAAGTGATCAAAATCAGGTTAAAGAGACGGATAAAGTAGTTTCCAGTTACCCTAAGTTTAAATCATTAAATGCCTGATTCACTGTACCCTCCAGCGTTTATCAGATCAACAATAAGGAAGATATCGCATTATTTTTGAATATCCTTCTGAACACACCCACAAGTCACTAATCATAGAGAACCGCAAAAGAAATGAACCCAACATGTACCTCTTAAAATGTAGGGGAACTTTAAATTATATTGTTTAGAACTAATAACATGCTAATGAGATATGGGATATTAATCAAGTTGGAATCTTTATGATGCATGATAACTACACATACACTTTCATTTTGGTTAAAATAATTTGAACTCATTCTTCTGCATTTCATTTTCAATATTTAAAGTTTTTAAAAATTTTCAAAAGGCTCCACAAGAATCTTGAGATGTAAATCTAAATATTTCGGAACTGCATGCTAAACAAGTTTGCTTTTTTACGCTCTGCAAATTTTTAATTGACAAAGGATTTCAATCAAAACAATTTTTCAAAACAATAAGTAAATTCCTTTGTTGTTGTTTATTTTGAAAAGTTCCCATTTTGAAAACTATAAAACTATTGTTTAGGTGGTGTCCTACCTAGAGGGCATGATTACATTCGAGATGGGAAGGACTGGTAAAATGATGATGAATGTGTCAGAAAGGAACCATACAAAATAATTTTTCATAGCAGAAGGCTCTAAAACATTTTATTCATATAAGGGCAGCCAAAATTACCATTTCATCTCTACATTTTCATATGGAATTATCAAAAGTATGCAGTCTGAACATTTGATGAATTATTACAGTCCAAAATTTAAATGAAGTCATTAAAAGTTCCTTAAAAAAATCCGGAAAGTCTGGGAAATTTTTTTTTGTGAACCTAAATAACGGCTTCTCTTCTAAAGTTGTTTGATACAGCCTCGATGTTGCAACTTTGCATCGAATTCCATTTTTTCTAAGATCAAATATTTTAAATTTTTTCACAAAATTTGTCTTGGTTTGTTTAAAAGAATGGATGAGTTAGACCATATGTATGATGACATGCAGGACCGTCTCTTCGAAATTGATAAAAATAGGTAAAGGAGAAAAAAATTAAATTTAAAAAACAATTCAAATTAGATTAAATTCTTATTAGCTCAACGAACTGATAAAGAAATTGGCCGCAAATAAGAATTTCACCATACATTCAGCAAGCCTAAAATTGCATTTTAGAAGTTTTCTTTCTTTTAAAAATTATATAATACTCAATGTTTTTCATTTTGGTATCCTGTGACCGAGTCATAATATTTTTGTAATTTTAAAAATGTATTTTTCTTTATTTTAGGAAGAATAACTTGGTGTTCTACGGTGTAAAGGGAGAGGAGCTAGACCAAGATGAATGTGAACAACTAATTAAGAACATCATGAATACATATATGCAGGTAAACTGACGCCACAAACTGTTTTTAATTTTTAAAAAAACATGTGTTATCTACAAACCTTGAAGATTCAAGATTCACCTGAGATAGGCATGTTAGCTGTTATTGTATAAAAAGCCTTTTTTCAAAAAAGAACTTTTTAAAATTTGTAAAAACTGTAGTAAATCAAATAAATCCAGTGTATTTAATGCATATTTTATTTTTTTCAAAAGAAAAACTTTGAAAAAAATTAAAAAGAAATAGAATCTCAATGACCTTTTTTTCCAAAATTCCTAAGTAACCTTTTTTCGTTGTTAAAACGATAGTCACTTTTTATGATTTCAAAGATAAAATTTAGATACTACCAAAATTTGAGACTGTTTTCTCACTACGTGCATTAGTTCCAATTGCCATGTAAAATGGTAGTAACTTTTGAATAATCAAAAAATCAGTGTACCTCCTTTTTTCTTTGTAACTTATTACTGCCGTTTTAACAAAGAAAAAATGAAGCACTCTGCATTTTTGATAATTGAAAAGTTACTACCATTTTAGATGGCAGTTGGAACCCATGACTCCATTTGAGTTTATCTGGAATTATAAACTCTAGAAACATTGTTCCTGTGGTGACAAATCTTCAACGGGTTGAAAATCTATTCAATATCTTTTATTAGTTTCTCATAAGGATGAAATTGGATATTGAATATATCTCAAATAAAATTATCTTACAAAGTATAAAGGATGTTTTCTTGGTGGCTAATAACTTAATAATTGAAGTTAAGTCCCATGGAACTACCTCAAATAGTAAAACATTATCAGAATTTTGGGAAACAATATTGGCATTAAATTTAAACAAAATAAATAGCAGCAGGATTCATCAGAAAAACATCTGTGATGGTGTGGTTTCCTCTCAACAATGTTCCATAGTCCTTAACAAAGAATCCTAGACAATGAGCAATTTTAGCTCAACAACATGTTATAACACATATTCATATAAATGGTTCGGAAGTTATAGTAGATTACTTGAGGTAATGGGGGCTAAAAGAAATTTAAATAGAATGACAGAGAAATGCATAAAAGAAAAATTCTGCTTATAAAATTCATTCTTGAATATAAGTTGGATTTAGGGAAAAAGTTCATGACACAAATGTTATCAAAATTAGAAAAGTTTCTTGCTAATGTTCATCATTTTTCAAGGTTACTCGAGATATTCCGCTGATCAAAGTTTCAAGAATCTGGAATGGACCAAGCTTCAGAGGGTTTAAACCTATCCAGGTTAATATCATGAAAGGGATAGTCAGCTATTTTTGAAATAGAAATAAGAGGAATAATCAGCAATTTACATTAATATTGCAAAATTCATAAAAATTATGAAAATCTTACACTATTTAACCAAATACTTTTGATACGTCAAATAAAAAAATTATTTCAAGGTAACCTTCCAATTGTGGAAGGATAAGGAGGAGATATTAAGAAAAAACAATTTGCTGCAAAAAAGTTCAAACATGTATGTAACTGAAGATTTTTCAAGGAAGGTTAGAAAACACAGGTAATTTGCAATATAAATTTCAGGAAACCTAAAGAATTTCTCAAAAGGACTGTTGAATTAATTCTAATTGATTCTACGCTTAAAGAGCCCATGACCGAATCACAACAGTACCCTTTGTCACTTTGCCTTCGAGCAAAAAGTATCAGGATATTTTTGCTTTGCGGTCTATAAAGTGTCAATCTTCAATTCTGTTTTCTTTCAAAAATTACTTAGTAGATTTATGCGACAACTGATGAAATTGATCCCATTTTAGGAAAAACGAAAACTTCTGCGTGGTTGCTTTTGGAAAAAAGGGAAAAGGGCTCTGATGTGAACTTGGATGTAACTCTTTAATTAAGGGTCACTTGAAATTACGTCTACAGTCCCTTTAATGGTAAAGAAATGTAAACAGTGCAGTAAATGCAGCATTAACAGATTGTAAAATTTAGGATTCAAATGATTATTTTTTTATTTTTTTTAAATTAATTTTTGCAGAGAGGAGTTGATCAAATTTGCACGAGATCTTCGAGCAGTGGAACCTTCAGGAAATACAAATTTTCAAATTTTTATAACATATTTCTCGCTTCAATAAAACATGAGGAGGATGTTCACATTTTTTAAACTATCCAGATTGGGCTTTTTTATATCTGATATGAATCTTTAATATTTAGAATGCAAAGGAGGATTTTAAAAATGTTCAGAGAGTACGTCTGGAAAATGTCCAAAACTAAATATGTTTACTTTTGACAAATTTAAAAATATTAACATTTGACACAAAAGCCATTTTTCACGGGCTTTCCAAATATAAAAAAATAATTTTTTGAAACACCGACGCGCCGTTTGACTGTCCTCCACCCTACCCTATGCATCAAAAAAAGTAAGCAAGTAACCAGTGATCACCAGATTAACCGTCAGGTTTAACTTCTCACTCAGGATGTTTTTGTATAACTATCATATAACATGTTAGTAGAAATAGTTCTAGGTTTCAAACAAATCCAAATCATATGCATTTATGCATCATATCATATCATATCCAGGCATTTATGCATTTATGCCCTTATCCATAATTCTTGCTGATTTAAAAAAAAAAATTCTCTTGTTTTTCTTTTATTGGATATATAATCATCAAGTTCGCTATCTTAGCTAAAATAAAAGGGCGACAAAGCCACTTTGTGAACTCATAAATCCATAATTTTGCTGATTTATTAAAAGTTTATCTCTAGTTCTTCTTTCATGGAATATTCAAAATCACGTTTGTTATCTTATCTGAAAATATAGAGGGTGAACAAGCCACTTTATAATTATAATTTTTGTTTAATAAAGTATTTGAGAAGAAGAAAATCCAAATCCAGTTTTAACACAAGTTTTGGCAAATTTTTTTTAATCCGTCAATTTTCCCTTTTTTGATCAATTAAGTGTCAAAATGCACATATTGTTAAGAATGTATTCAAATTTTTTTTAAAAGATCATTTTTACAAGTATAATATATGGATGAAATCACATATTGTGTATCCCAAACTGGAAGACTGCATTTTGTAATCCAGGTTTTTTTTAAACTGGTGGTTGATAGCTTCACCCGTCTGTTCGGTATAGTTGCCAAGTCCAGTCTTATTTTTTTCTATGTATGGTAGGAAACAGTTAGATCTAGCTCAAAAATATCTTAAACATATTTTTTTGGATAACTAAATGAGTTTTTAAATTTACTTAAGATTCTGGGAATGCTTAATCCCTACTCTATCCCGAACACATTTTCCTTGACTGCTGCAAATTTGATCAAACAATCTATTATTGGAAGAGGGTCCAACCTACCATCAGCTCTCAAATCTCTATCCGAATTTCGCGGATTTTCATACACATTTTTTGCGGATTTTCATACACATTATTCGCGGATTTTCATACACATTTTTTGCAGATTTTTTTCTTTCTTTCATTGTTTTTGATGAAGAATGGAGAATTTTATATTATTCTTTTTAGCCTATTTTTACTCTTTCAAAACTTGATTCGGATTTGTTTGATATTTTTTCTACTAACATGTTAGATGATAACTATTCTATAGTGGGGAGATGTTCAACCTGACGGTTAATCTGGTGAACAGTGAGTGGCCTATGTACAGGTTGTCCCAAAAAACATGGGAATTAAGTGACAAATTCGATATAGTCTTTGTTATGAATTAGAATTGTAATACCTAATTTCAAAAGCCGTAATATTATTATGTCTGTTAGAGTTTATTTTATAAAAAAGGTAAAAGACTGCAAAGATATGTCTACAATGTCTCCGCAAGATGAACAGTGAAGACGGACAAGTTTTATACAGCAATTTTCCTGTTTTACTAAGTACAACTGTATGCAGTCAAAACATAAACAAACAAAATGTGAACATAGCAGACGAAACTCTTACAGATTACAGCTTTCTCAGTAGGTATCACTATACTAAATCAAAGAATTATTTGAAAAGACGATATCGAATTCGTCACTGAATTCCCATGTTTATTGGGACACCCTGTATGTTTTTAAATCCACTTAGAAGAGAAAAAAACTTGTTTGTGCTTGAAGCGCCTCTAATTTTTGATGTAGAAAAAATGGCTTCTTCATGTTTTTTGTTTGAATAAATTTTGACTTAGCTCGATGTTTCCTACAGTACGATAGACTCTACGTAGAGAACGAGATTTTCCTTTATAATGAGGTAAAGTAAATATTTTACTTTATAATGATATAAAGGGTTCATTTTCCTTTTTAATTAGATAAAAGGTTTATTTTCTTTTATAATTAGGTAAAAAGTATATTTTCCTTTAAAATAAAGTTTTCCTTTATAATAAGGTTAAGGAAATATTTTACCTTATGATATAAAGAGGTTTATTTTCCATTCTATTAGGTAAAGGGTTTATTTTCCATTCTAATTAGGTATAGGGGTTTATTTTCCATTATAATTAGGTAAAGGGTTTATTTTCCATTCTAATTAGGTATAGGGGTTTATTTTCCATTATAATTAGGGAAAGGGTTTATTTTCCATTATAATTAGGTAAAGGGTTTGTTTTCCATTCTAATTAGGTATTGGGGTTTATTTTCCATTATAATTAGGGAAAGGGTTTATTTTCCATTATAATTAGGGAAAGGGTTTATTTTCCATTATAATTAGGTAAAGGGTTTTTTTTCCATTATAATTAGGGAAAGGGTTTATTTTCCATTATAATTTGGTAAAGGGTTTTTTTCCATTATAATTAGGTAAAGGATTTATTTTCATTTATAATGAGGTAAAAAGTATATTTTCCTTTATAATAAACATTATTTAAAAATGAGAAAATGGGTATATTTTCCTTTATTATGAGATTAAAGAGTACATTTTCTTTATAATTAAGTAAAAGGTTTGCTCACTTTATAATGAGGTAAAGAGTATATTTTTCTTTATAATTAGGTAAAGGGTTTATTTTCTTTTATAATTTAGATATATATCTGTCTAACATATTTATATAAAACAAAAACAAAAAAATTTGCGGATTGCATAATATTTTTTCGCGCATTTCCAAAATTTACAAAAATAAAAAAGTTTGAAACACAAATTTTTAAAATTTTTATCATTCATAAACTTTCCCTGGGGTCACGTGAGGTCCCAAAAAAAATTTGGGCCCGATTGGTTCAGCCGTTTTGACGTTTATTGGATACAAACAAACAGACAGACAGACAAGCTAAATTTATATATAGTGGAGAGAATGATGGAAAATAAAATAATCTAATTTAAAGATGGTGGCGAAAGGTAAAGAAAATATGGAAAATGATATGATAAATAGTTAGAAGGGAACGGCAGAGTGAATGTTTAAAGGGAAAGGAAATTTGGAAAGATATTATAAAAATGTTTAACCCTATCTCTGCTGGGGTACTTGAAAACCAGGATATGCTGGGAGGGGGGTTAATTTGACCCCCCCTCTAAATCCCATGTTTGATCTCCAAATATGACAAATGATACATCATTGGAAAGCTCTTTTGTTCTAAATCTGCAAAAAATAGCAAATTTGCAAAAATTGGATTTTTTATCGCAAAATCCAGTTATATAGTAAAAATTTTTGCAAAAAAAAATTTGTCCAAAAAATGAAAAATTATACATTTTTGAAAAGCCCTTGACCATACCATTTCAAATATGCAAAATAACCTGATTTGTAATCAAGAAAAACTAAAAATGTGCAAATTTCCTGTGACAGGTTGTTTGCAAAATATTTGCAGTTTTTTTTCGCAAAACTTGTGCAATTCATTTCCTTATGTCAAAGGCTTTCCAAAAAAACTAAATTTTATCAAAATCTGACAAGTGGAAGTGGGTCAAAACAAAGATTTAGTTTTTTACAGGAAAAAGCAGTCATTCAGGCAGTGTGCCTGAGGACTCAGGCAGTTAGTATTAAAGCCCGGTTTTAGGCCTAAAGGGAGGGCTATGGGTATGTAAGAAAAGTCAGAATATTTCAACAGCCTCAGACCAATACTTTTTTATGTAAAAAAAAACTACAGGGGGGGGGTCAAATTGACCCCCCCCCCAGCAGGAATAGGGTTAAAGGTAGCTAGGGTAGAGAATGTTGAATGGAAAAATAAGTATGGAAATGATAAGATATAAAGGTTAAAGAATGGAAAGAATGTTAATAGGGAAAAGAAGTAAGAAATTGTGTGATGTAAAGGTTGAAGGTAAAGTGGAGAGAATGTTGATAGGGAAAGGAAATGTGGAAAGAGGAGATGGGAAAGAGTACACCCCTACACCAAGGTAATTTTGTCACTATTAATTTGATCATTGTGTTAATTTTCAAGTCACCTCCCAATTGAAGTTCTGATTTGCATAAATCTGGAAATCACTTTTTTTAAAGAGCTACTTAAAGGGCTACTTACGTTTATATCTACAGTGAGGGTCATTACTCATTAATATTAGACTTTTTTTAGGTATCAGCTAACCGCCCACTTGAGGTTTCTGTCTTTTCACTTAATACAAATATTGCAAAAAAAAAATTTCAAAATCGTCCATACCATGATACGGTTGCAAATTGACAATTTTAGTATAATAGAAATCACCTTATACTAGGGCCCCTAAATAAAATATTTTGAAAATATTTATGTTATACTAAATACATCATTTTCTTGGAAATTTTAAAATGAATTCAAATATGAAAAGCGCTTTAAAAAAATAGAATTGAATCTGCAGTTGAAGCTAGATAACTCATCAAAAACTTTAAAAAGTTAAATAACGGATTTTTTAACGTTATTTGGCTATAACTCCTTTAATTTTTAACTTTAAAAAAATTATGTATAACATGAAATAAAAAAAATAATTTCTACCAGTTTAAATCTTTAATTCGCATCCGTATGAACGATTTGAAATTTTATTTTATTGCAATATTTTTTTAATTGAAAACGCAGCAACCAACATTAGACGGTTGGCTGAATTCCAAATCACCCTTAATCTACAGTTCCTTATTTGTGATATGAAATTTTGTTTTTATGTAGACATCATTCCTTTGATAACTAATTTTTCTATAAAGAGATCGAGTGAGTAGCCGGAACATAAGTCGATCAGAGGACATAGATGTTGAACTCAGAAAAGACGGAAAAAAGGAAATATTGAAAAAAGAAAACTCAGCTGAAAGAAAAGAGAAACAAGGAGAAGTAAAAAAGAAGAGAAATAAAGAGGAAAGTAAAGAAAAGAAGGAATCAAAGAAGGGCGGGAAAGAAAAAGAGACCAAAAAGGCAAAGGCAGAGAAAACTAGGTCTTCATCTAAAGTTAAACCAATTCTGAAAAAACAGCATTCACATCCACAAACAGAAAAAGGTATCTATTATTCCAGCCTTTATAAAGAAAATTTGTAAAAAGAAAAATCATTTAATGTTGCTTTGAAATTTTTTATTTCCAGTGAATAAAAATGTTGAGATGGAGGATTTAAATGTGATTGTGAGGTATGTAAAACAAATTTTTTTGCCTTAATGTTGCTTTAATGAAACTGTGAATTATGTAGAACAAAGGAATTATTTCAAACGATGAGTTTTAGCGAATTACGTCTAAAAAATCATATCTTTGATTGCAAAGATAAAGGGACTCTAACGTTGGAGTTTGTGGCTCGACTTAATTTCTTTAACCTTATATACATTTGCTATTTAAAAGCTTTTGATCAATTTTTTAAATGTTATGAGTAGATATATTGTGTTTTAAACATATTGTAAGTTGAACAAAAAAATAGATGTTTTGAAGGGACTGTTCACATATTTGGGTAATTTCATGGTAAACTAAATTGCCTGTCAGCTTTTGATTGGTATTGGTCTCACTTTTCAAAGATATCCATAACCTGAGAAAAAAGCCGATAATCGTTCAAAATTCAGGCTCCATTGAACGGTCCCTTTGTTTAGACACAATTTACAATACGCTTTTCAGCAGAATTCAGCCCCCACCCCCCAAAAAAAAAATCATATTTCAAGGCCATTAAATGTGCTAGCCATTATGTACTAAAATATGAAAACTTTTGATATTTGAGTTAGCAAGAAATTAACATTTTTCGTTTTTAAACATTTAAAGTGAATAAACAAAGACAACGTTCCTTAAGACAATCAATTAATCATTACTCGCGCACTCGATGTAAATAAAACATACATCTTATTTATTTTATTAAATTAACATTGAATTATGGTTTCTAGTCATAATTATGTTACGCGTATTACACAAAAAAATATGTGTTAATTACATATACAATAGATATGATGGTAACAGACAAACCAGTTTTACTTCAAGGTGATTTTTTTTTATTTAAATTAAATATGTATGTATATGTATTTAGAATTTAAAATTAAATATGTAAAAAATAGATCAAAATATTAAATTTTTGTTGAAAAGTTTAATTTCAGGGATGAGACATTTGGGCCTGGTAGTAGCGCAGATGAAAATGACTTAATAGGTAAAATACAGGGGGCGGGCATAACTCTCCTAATTTTACCTGGCTAGGTTTATACTGTACAGTGAATTTTGTCGAAAAATGTTTCCTTATGACTGAGTTGGTATCATAGAGTACAGTGGGTTTAATCCTAAGTACATCTATTTGTACGGTATTGTGTGAACAGTTAATTTTAATATTTTTCAACAATGAGATATTGTAGTGTCAATAATTGTGTAAACAACGATGTTTCGGGTTCAGAAATTTTTCATAACATACGAAAAGAGTGGATAGAACAAGTTATCTGGAAGACAGAACACCCAATTATTATATGCAGTGAACCGAAATGTAAAGAAAAATGGATTGCGTCAAAAGCTTTCAAAACTGGTGCTCCTACAAAACCAATAAATTATTTATATTTAAAAATCACTTGTTTCACGTTCATTTATGTAAAATAAATATTTTAACAGTTTTCAGTTCTTCAATAACTTTAAAATTAAGTCTAACCTATTTTAGATCTATTATTAGTTCAGAATTGCTTTTCATTCTAAAAGTCAGAAACCTATATTCCTAAGAGTTAATGCACAATGTAGATTTCAGAAGTAAAGAATTTTATAAGAAGCAAGATGTTATCAAGGAGAAGGATTTTATTTTTTTCTCTATTTGTCATCTCTCATTTTAGATAAAAATCATATGGGCTTGTTTTCTTTGCTTGACTATTGTAGGCTTCACTTTCAAACAATAATGTTTTAAATACACTGATCTACGAATTATGATCCCCCCAGGTAGAATTTCTCAGCGGGTCATTGTGTACAATGGCTGTACAACAAGAAGTCTAAAATTTCAGATGCCCCCTCTATTACTAATATCTCGATGGTAAAATATCAACATGACTTTGTAAACATTGCATAAACATTTTGTTTTTCTCTCCAGCTTATATGTGTACTTACGGCATACTGTCATTACAATCTATAGAATCTGTTTTAATATGGTTTTTTTCAGCTCGCTTAGTTAATGATTAAGTTATAATCAAGTAACCCCATTTATCTACAAATTGATTATATTCAATTGCAATTTCTTTACAATGCAATGCAGTGACTTTGGGATTTCTTGCTCCAGAAATAATGGAGAAGAAAATTAGAAGCCAACACTTTTTAAGCTTGTAGTAAAACGACGAAATCCTCCAATTATTGCTGAGACACAGGCAGCCGTAGTACATTTGAATTTCCGAGCCGGGTCAACCTTTCCGATCCCAGTTTGTGTTGCACCTCGATCTATTGACAGGACTAGCCCGTGCAACAAGGTTGACGCGGTCAGGCGTTATGCTTCATATAGGTTGAATTTACTTTTACTAAAGGGGCAGAGGTGCGTGCAGATAATGGTTTATATAGTACTGTTGTGAATTGGGAATATCCCTATTTAAATGAAGTGTCAACGCCAATCCTTTTAATAATTTGATTATGGGTATATTTTCACTATTTCTTTTATTGTTTAATCTAGATTTTGATATGTAACATAACGATCCGGTTAACTACTTTACCGACTTTTATTCATCTAAAACAATTGTAAATACAGACTATATAGTCGACAGGACAGTACAAATTTGTTAATCTGTGGCTTCCAAATGGATTTGAAAAAAAACGTCAAGAAAGAAATCTTATTTTTATTGTTATACATGATGGAAACAAGTTTCTGAAACAGAATCTGGAGGTTACACAGATGAAGTCAGTTGTTTCACTGCCTACTGATACTCTAGTTAATAGTCAGCTAACCGGAACCAATTGAAAGGACAGCATTAGCATCGCAGGCTACATTTGAATAGCATCTTCCTTTGCCCCGGGCAGCTTTCAAGTCCCGACAGTCGGAATCACAGGGAACATAACAGAATCCTTTTTGAGGACAGGTGACATCACGATCCTAAAGTCAAATTAGTTTATGCAGAAACGAAATTTGTTGGATTAAAAGGGAAGACGAGCAAAACAGCGTCACCTAAATGAAAATATTATTCTTTCATTCAAAAAGCCCTTGAAAAATGATTTAGTAACATGTTTCTCATGTGAATATTTGTTAAATCAAAATAACTATTTATTGCATAATTCCGAAGTATTTGTTTAGAGGTGTAACTTTTTAAATTAGATGGCCTTGAAAAGTTTGACTAGGAGCAAATATCACACTCCCCCTTTTCAACTCAGAAGAGGAAAATCACCAAATTATATTTGATAAAAAATGTCAAAACGGGTTAGGGTTAAACTGATAAACATGTTAAACGAAAACTGTAACCTGCAAATTTGCTTTCTCGTCGTACTTTTTGGTGTTAGAAAAAGAATATATCATTAAACCGTTACCTTATTTAAGAATATACAAAGCAAAACTTAATTAAGATTGGCAACGGAAAAGTGTTTGAAAATAAATCTGAATCTTCTTTTTCGCAACATTTCATGATATTCTTCAATGTGGTATAAATCTTACCAAGAAAAGTGTTAATTAAGAGCAACGTTTATTTTTAAATGAAAGTTGTAACCAAAGAAGGGATTCCTCATACCAAACATTAAGACAACCATACCTATGCTTACAGAGAAGAAAGTAAGAATATTAAAATTCATGATGATATTTTTTTTCAAATTTGATATTTTGGAGTTTGTATTTCAGAATTTTTTATTTTCAGGAGTTTGTCTCTTCAGGAGTTTGTCTCGTCAGGAGTTTGTCTCGTCAGGAGTTTGTCTTTCAGGAGTTTGTATTTTCCGGAGTTTGTCTTTCAGGAGTTTGTCATTCCGGAGTTTGTCATTCAGGAGTTTGTCACGGCGCCCACAAATACGAACTTTTTTATATTGATATTCCTAAATGAGACGGCAATTTTACTGTTTTTTTGCCATATTTTGTCAGAATTTGTTAGATGTTTTTATGGTCAAATATTCGAAAAAAGGTCAAATTAAAATCGCGTTTTTACACCTTTAAAGCGAGTTTCATAGAGTAAGTTCAGGGAGGGGTTGGGTATGATTCAGTTAATTCAAAATTTTTTGATTTTGTAATCACAGTGTTTCTAAAGATGATGTATGATTTGTTTAAGAATATATCTCCCCTACTTTTTTCAGATAAGAGTTTAAAGGGTGTCTAAAAGTTATTTTGATTGGCTTTTAAATTGCAATTGTTCTAGACGAAGAGTTGAGAATTGCTGAATCAATGAGTCTGGCAGTATTTCTGTCTCTACAACAGGATCAAGATCACCAGGATCAACTGGAACAGGTTTTACAATCAATTAACATATTTATGTGATATATACTTTGATTGTTTTTATCCAATAAAAGTAAAACTGTTGGAATCTCACATCAGTAAGACCCAACCGGGGGAAGGTTTGTGGATGGTCAGAATGTAAAAAATGTGCCTCAAAACATTTGGATTTCCGCAAAATTTGGAAAATCCCCGAAAAAAATCCGTGAATTGTTTGTTCATGGTTTATGTACAGAAAAGCAACAAGCTAAAACATAAGTATTTAGGACACTCTACAGAGAAGAGGAGTAATTGGAGGAATAGCCCCATTAGGTCTGTAACTTTGTAATTAATATGTGTTCTAATTTATTTTTGTTATAATTCATATATGCCACACAGTGAGACCCATAAAACTGAGGAGGACGACATTTAATCAATATTATGTGTTAGTAGGTGTTGTTTTCATGCAAATAGTTTCAACTGCACAATTACAGTGTTGCGTGATCATTGGACTATTTAAAATCATAACTAGAGATTAAAAGTAGTCTTCTTATTCCAAAGTTTTATGAGTCCCACTATATACAGTTTAAAAAAACTGTAACTTTAACAGAAAGTTCAGTCTTTTCTTTTAATATTTTTAAATTTAAATTTAAGGTTTTAAATATACCCAATAGTTATGCGGCAGTGGAAAATCATGGGAAATTGTAAAATAAATACTTTCTTAAAATTGTGAAATTTTTTTATTGACTGATTGCATTGTAGAAACCTTGGATGAAGTGGCAGAGGACTCCTGTACTCCTAGTCCAGCATGTATACAAGGTATAGATAGGACTCCAGTATCTTAGTCCAGCATGTATACAAGGTAGGATTCCAGTATCTTAGTCCAGCATGTATACAAGGTATAGATAGGACTCCAGTATCTTAGTCCAGCATGTATACAAGGTATAGATAGGACTCCATATCTTAGTCCAGCATGTATACAAGGTATAGATAGGACTCCAGTATCTTAGTCCAGCATGTATACAAGGTATAGATAGGACTCCAGTATCTTAGTCCAGCATGTATACAAGGTATAGATAGGACTCCAGTATCTTAGTCCAGCATGTACACAAGATATAATTAGGACTAAAGTACTTCTAGTCCAGCATTTATACAAGGTATAGATAGGACTCCTGTACTCCTAGTTCAGCATGTATACAAGGTATAGATAAGACTCTAGTACACCTAGTCCAGCATGTACACAAGACATAGATAGGACTATAGTATTTCTAGTCCAGCATGTATACAAGGAATAGATAGGACTCCAGTACTACTAGTCCAGCATGCTTACTAGGAAGGACTCCAGTACTCTTAGTCCAGCATATATACAAGGTAGGACTTCAGTACACCTTGTCAAGAATGTATTCAAGAAATAGATTTAGGACTCCAGTACACCTAGTCCAGCATGTATACCATGTATAGATAGAATCCCAGTAATATTTACCTTGTATCTTTAATATACATACCTAGAGAAATAGAGCATAAGTTTATGTTTGTTTTCTATGTTGCAAAAAAAAATACAATATTTAGAATGAAATATTACAATTCTTATAATACTTTTAGTTTTCAACAAAAAAGAAAAGGAATGGAAGAAAAAAAACTCCCCCAGGTTTCAAGGTAACAGATTATAACAATGAATTGCAATGATTCCATAAAAATGTTTTTGAAACAAATGTTGCACCATCCACAATTTCACCCAAAAAGTGTTCTGTATTAAAAAAAATATTCCTTTTTATATTATTTTTAGGAATTTGGGACAGAGATGATCAAATTGAATCTGGTAAGTAGTTCTACGTTTCAATTTATTTTACTTAAAAGGGACTGAAGACGGTATTTCAATTGACTTTTCACTTATAGAGTAGCATGTACTATTCACAAAGGTACCCTTTAAAGCTTTTCTAATTAAGAATGCATGAGATACTCATGATCCGTTAAAAACAAGCACTTTTCAAACCAGAAAAACGACGATATTTCCCACTTTATTTATACATCAAATAATGGTCTAAAGGGTACCGTTGTGAATCAGGTATGCCCCGGCGAACAGAACTCGTATAGAATACTATTTTAAAAAGTCATAAACTGGGAACAAAAGTCGTAAAAACAAGTCGAATTTTTCATCCAAGTTTTGAAGTGGTCACATACTTTAATTCAAAGTTCCATGGCCAGCTCAGAACTGGTATTAAAAAGTTGATTTATTTACAAGTTTTATCTCCAAAATGTTGCCCGCCAGGTGCCTCTTTACATTTTATTTAAAATTGTTATTTTTTGCCCCTGGACGGCTAAAATTTCAAAAAATTTTATTTTTTAAATAGAATCGCTATGAAAGAAATGAAACGCAACTATTTTAGGTAAAATAATTTTTAAAAGGTCTTATCATTATTGAAAAAATGTATGTTCTCTGTAAACTCAATGTACATTTTTTGATAAACAGAAGTGTATATGATGCGTGAGTGTCCTGGATAATGGTACTTGACCCAGAAAATTGATCACTGAATATATAAATACAAGGCTTGCAGTTCGCTTCGCGCCCATTTTTTATTTCAATTGGGAACATTGTTAAACAAAAAAAATAAAAAAAGATCGCGAAATTTATAAAATAAATCCTAGATTTTGTAACATTTTTGAAATTTTGATCATCATGCATAAACCATCAAACTTTAACAAACTTCAAAAATCCAGAAAAACTCGACTTCTAAGGTCGAGAAAAAGACTATACTTCAAAAGTCGATAAAACTAAACTTCAAAAGTCGACAAAAACTTGAATTAAAAAAATTCGTCCATAAGTGTAAAATCCCGTTCCAAAGTGCTATAAAAGCTCTTTAAGATAAGATAAAATAAGGGAAAGATCTGACAACTCCCCCATCTTGGAGAGCCCAGAGTTCCATTAATGCAATGTTTTTAGAGAGTGAATTTGACACTGATTTGACAAATACAGAAAGAGAATTAGAAATAGGTAAAAGAAGATGTAAACTATTCTTGGAGCTAGCCTTACTCAGAAAATGAAACCCTGTCTGAAAATTCCGGGGTGATTTAATTTAAATTGTGTCCTTCTCTTGAGTCTTGTCTGATTTTTTTGGGGCGGAAATATAAATAAATTTTGTGGATTTCTTAATAGAATATATTTTACCTTAGAAATAATTCTTTACAAAACGAGTAAAACTGTTTAGCATTTTCTCACTATAGAAATATCAGGTCAGGAATAAAAAGAAAAATGACACAGATAAGCTACTCCTAAAAGAACTTTGTAGGCTTGGTTTCATTTCAGATTAAAACAAGTCCAGTCCAATCTAAGTATTTATATTTTCTTTGAAATACATTTACTATTCATAATCATGGATTAAGAAAAGTATATTTAGAATCTCAAATATCCCTGGATGCTGAACGGTTCAAAGAAATAGAGAACAGGTTTTTTTTGTATTATTTTGTATTTTGATTCTGCTTATTCTTTATTATTCTGCTTATTCTTTATTATTCTGCTTATTCTTTATTATTCTGCTTATTCTTTATTATTCTGCTTATTCTTTATTATTATTCTGCTTATTCTTTATTATTCTGCCTATTCTATACTATTCTGCTTATTCTTCATTATTCTGCTTATTCTTTATTATTCTGCTTATTCTTTTTGTATCTTCCTTATTTTCTCTTCTTGTTCTTATTCGTGATCTTTCTACATTGATTTTTTTTATTGATCATGAAATGAAAAATTTAATAAACCAATCCAAGCAAATCATTTTAAAAAACCCTCTCAAATCAAAACATATCAAATACACAACATATCAAAACCAAATCGTAACTAATTTTACTTTTAATCTATCAGTTTAGTACTGACCTCAAGTTAAATAATGTTATTGGAGAAAAACTTTTCGTGGAAAACCAAAAATATTTCGAATCTGTAAAAAAAGAAAATCAGAATATTCACTATCTTTGTTCTTAAATATTTTTCATAAGATATTTTTTGTTTGATTTGTTGTTTATGATATGTTTTGTGTCTGATATTTTTTGTTGTCGATATTCTTTGTATTTTGATATCGTTTAATATGTTTTGTGACGAGTTGTAAGAGTTACCCAGCCGGACTGAGTTGACCTTCAAGGTGGATTTAGGCGCCTGTCGACTTTAAAAGTCCTCTATATTTGCAAAAAAAATATCATATTTCAGTAACATGAGTAAATAACATTAAAATGATTATGAATTTAGCATTGCATTTCAATTACTTTACAATTTAATAATTATCTTTAATTATTTAGAAAGAAAATTGGATCTGCAATTTTAGAAAAAATAAATGAAGATTTTAATTTGTTGATTAATTAATATGTTAAATGATAAATAAATCTTTTTTGAAAATATGTATTTGTTTTTTAGATGGTGCCAGTCCTGACGGGTCTTCACGATTTGGTGAAAATGTGGGGGGCGCACACAGGGCCCCCCCAACCCCGGAAATTTTTTTGGGGGGACCTTTTATTTTCCCTCCTAATCCCCCCCCCCAAAAAAAATGGGGGGGACCCATGTGTACTTCACTGACTTGACATCGACTTGTGAAATCCCCGTCAGGGCGCCCTCCTGAAGCCTTTCTAGGGACAGGGGGTGGGATGGGAAACAGCTTTAAAACAGCTGCTGGCATTAGATAACACAGAGAGATAGTTAGATAGATAGATAGCAGCATATTGACCCCTGGACAGATGCAATTACCCATAAGTAATTTGATATGGCAAAGTTTGAGGAACGCTCTCCAACGCCTTACTGGCCTTATCCAGGCCTCCTATCTCTCTGTTATACCCGGCCTTCAAGGTGCCGAAACCCATAGCCTTTAGGCCATCTTATGGTCTAGATTGGAAGCCTTTTTGGTCCGATTGGGTATGTTTTGATTTTGAGGGTTTTGTTATGATGTTTCGTTGGGAAATGTTTTGTAATAATATTTGTTTTAAATTACAACTTTAAATGTCTCTTTTTAAAGGTCACTGATAACCATGAGTCAAGATGATAAGGTAAATTTTCTATTATAAATATCTAACAAGTTACTCGGACCGTCAATGTTTACAATTTGTATTTTTATTAAGGCTGTGTTAAAGCTTTTCAAAACCACAAGCACAAAACATCACCTCCAACCCCCAAACCCCCCGGCCCCTATCCCTCTTGGCCATACTGTTATGGTTTTCGGGAGATAATCGCCGGAGAATAAATTATGTCAACTTTTAAATATTTTAAAATTATTTTAGATTCCTGAAACCTTCATGACAATCACACAGAAAGCTGAATATGCTGAAACTAAAACTCCATATCTTGATCAAGAAACATCAAAGGAAGAGAACATTGAGTCATATGATCTTATTGACGAAGAGCTTCAGCATATAGAGCTTGAACATGATAATCTTGTTGATGAAGAACTAGAAAAGGTTCAGGAAAATCCTGATTTTTCCTCTAAACTAGATCAAGACAAAATTGTACATAATGAATTTGTGGAAGCACTTGAGCTTGCAATATTTGAACAACTAGAGATTGACAATGACGTACTTGAAGAAACTAAAGATGACAAGGAGGGTCTGTTTGACAAACATCTTGTTCACGAAGGAGAAGAATCAGCAACAACAAATGAACAAGATCCCTTTTATCTGAAAGTTGAAATTATAAATCATACACAAGAATCAAAAGAGGAAGTGGAGCAAGAAACTTTGAATGAAATAAACTCAAATGCTGTTGTTTCCAAAAGTGAAACTTTTGACATATTAGATGAGTAAGATTCAATTAACAAAAAAATTAAACTTAAAGTTTAGATAAATACATAGAAAGTAAAAATTATGTTAAATTATTTCAAACCTTTCATTTTAAAATACCTATTTATATTATAAATTTATTTTAAATATTACAATATTAACAAAAATATCAGTGCAATTTTTATAGCCAGAGCCTCTCTAACTATCGCTGGGTGTTTTGTGTTTGATACCTTTTTATAAACATGATAATACAAGAAATCATAATTTCACTAAAAAATCCATTTCTGAAAAAAAAATGTGTTGTTAAGTTTACGTTCTAAACGAACATGGCTAGAACACGGGAAAATGTGGATAGCCCTCTTATTGCAATCTGAACGTCTATTCAAATTGGCATTGACATTGACATTGCCACAGAGACACTAAAGTCTAAAGAGAAAGCGCGTCAATTTTACAATGTACACCTAGATAAGGTTAAAAATTCAAGCTGGGAAAGTGCTAAAACTTTATATTGATTTTACATGTGATTAAATCTAACTATGGTCATTGGTCACTCAGGGAGGTCGATTTTGGAGATTCCACTTGCTTCACCAAGAATAGCATTCATATAAGATTTATTAAAACGTCGTTTTTCTCTCAAGTCAAGTCAATATCTCATGGACGAAACCTGGTTTTATGACGGTTAAATTTGATAAACATGACTAATGCAAGCGAAATATAATGTTGGTCAAGTATTAAAAGATTCGTCTTGGAACACAAAATTTAAAAATATTGTAATGATTTATTAAATTTTTATTTGATTTTACAAAAATTTGTTTTCTCAAAGGTTGTTTAAATTTGTATTCTTCATTCAAATCCGGTTGAAGCAATTCGACCTCCCTTAGCGGTCACAGATATCTTTAGTTTACCATGGTAAAAATATGAGTTAAAATGTGTTAAACTTCGGTATCTTACATATTACAATCTGTAATTTTTGTTTATTTAACAACAACGAATGAGCATTTAATTGGTCTGTAAGTAGTGATGGACATCGTTTTGAGACATTTAGGTTTTTTACATTAAAAGTATTTCATAAAATGTGAGTTATTAAATAAATTACAAAATTATTCTTTCAATAAATTTGCTTTATTATGCAAATTTTTTCTTTTATAAAAAATTTGATTTTTCAAAACAAAATATTTTAATTGTTTTGGTCAGAATAAAAGCATTGCATAATCTTTATATATACTTCGCTTTTCTGTTTGTCTGTCCGAATGAATCCATTGAACGTTTAAACGGCTGAACCAATTGGGCCCAAATGTTGTAAGAGAACTTCACATGACCCCAGGGAATGTTTTCAAATGCAAAGAATTACCAAAAGTTGTCTCCAAAAATTTTTTATTTTCGTCAAATTTTGGAAATCCACAGCAACAAAATTGTAAATTCGCAGCAAAAAATGTTATTATTATTTCCATCGAAAGAGAAAATGCGGAAAGACTATAACAGTCCCTTTAATACTGTCCTAAAACCCTTTAAATATGACGAGCATAAGGTATAAATTTGTTAAGTTGTACAGTATATATTTAAATATAGATGCAGCATGATTGATGGGAACTCTTGTGCTGTGAGTGTCGGGATCTACATCTTGTGTAGGCCTACGGAGTGTGTTTTTATTTCCTTCAATTTCCTGTGGTAGTCATACCCTACCGGGATATTTCTTATTGAGGGATCCTGATGCCGTGTATGGCATGATTCTAGCCATAGAAAAAGACTAAAAATGTTCCTACAAACTTAAGATTTAACGAATCATAAAAGAATAGAAAAAAAACACTGTATTCTTTTTTAGCTTTTCCCAAAAACTTCCTGTTGTCTCCTGATTTGATCCTTTCCACCATAGTTCACTGTTGCGGCGGAATAAAAGAATTCATAGATGACCAAAACTAGAGGTGTACGAGGGCATTTGTTTAGGGACGGGGACGCGCGCAAAAAAAATTTGGGGTTCCCCCCCATTGGCAACATTGTGTCCCCCCCCCTTAAAAACCCCTTTTTTGAAAAAATATTGATACCTTTTTTTAAAAAGAATTGCTGTGAACGAGGGAATTTGTTTAGGGGGGGCAAAATTTTTTGGGTCCCCCCCTTGGGAACATTGTGCCCCCCTTGAAAAAATATTAATACTTTTTTCAAATTTTTTTTGCCCTCCCCTCCCCCTTGGACTTGTTTTGTTCACCATAAAAATACACCAAAAAGACTACATTTTTGGGTGTTACTAACCTTAAAGAGTCTAAAAATTATTCCTTTGCTTGAAAAACTAACTTTTTAACTTTATAAATTTATCACTTAACTCCATCACAGCTAACTAAATCAATAATTACAGCATCATTAAAAATTATATTTTCACTAATAAACGAAATTTCTTCTGAAATTTTTAGATAGAATTTACTCAATCTACAAATTAACCAATTCTTTTAATCTTCAATTTTCTGTGATTTCTTGCACAAACATTTCAATGATTTTCTCAGTAGAGAGCTCAGACAACCTTGTAGGATGTGAGGCTATAAGTGCAAGATCGTCATGGTACATCTTGTGTAATGAAGTATTCTCTTTAGAAGGCTAAAACTTTTCTCTCCTTGTTTTAAAAGTGACGTTAGACAAATCCTTAGTCTTTGTCATTGTCAGGTGTTACTTTTTAAACGTAGTTTCCTTTTAATTTTGTATTTTCCAGGGGAGCACTGCTCGTTGTTGCAGTACAGACTTGTTCCCCTCCCAAATTCAGGGGTTTCACATCTTTTGCATGAAGAACTCAGGGGCAAGGGAGTTCAGAACCTGACAATTTCGTCGCGTAACAATTTTATCGCATTACAAATTTTGAATTGCTTCTGTAAAAAGCTAAATTGAACGCAGCAAGAAAAATAAAAGTTGCGCGCATACGGGAACAGAGGGGCCACATGTGTCAAATTGTGTTGATTATGGTCATGTATAAAATTGATAAGAGTAAAAAAATCATATACTATGAAAATACCTGATTGCTTTTTAGCATTATAAAGTTAATAATTCATTCATTTTGAATTTCTCAGACTGCGACTGTAGCTGATCTTCTTGAACAGGAAAGCTGACAGACGTCTGACGTTATATTGTTTTCTTACAAAATAATACAATCAGTTGATTTATTTAATTATTATTTCTATTATTTTTTCAATTTATTCAATAATATTTTGATAAAATAAACTATTACTTAAAAATGCAATATTGCAAGTATAATATCATAAAAATGTACATTTTATTCACTTCGAACGTGGAGTGAATCTACGGACCAAAATACAGGTAATTTCTAATTGATTGTTGTAGAGAATGTCATCTTAGTATACTCATTTTACACGTTTTAATACGGAAAAACTCAAATATCAAAAGGTTTCATATTTTAGTATATAATAACTAACACATAATGACTTTAAAATATGATAAATTTAAATTTCATTGGGCTGCTGTTGCTGAAAACGTCTAATATACTATTTCTGACAAATTCTGAATGAAAAATCGGCTTTTTCTCCGGCCACAGTTGTCTTTGAATAGGCGTTTAGTTTACCCTGAAATTATTTATCATGTATTTATATCTAGAAGCAATAAATGTACTTCTTAAGGCTTTTATAATGATTTGGCAAAGAAATATACAAGTTCAAAGTTGCAAGGAATTGTGAATATAAGGTAACAAACCGTATGAATTCCGTACAATCGTCTCTGAAGCCTCATCCTTTGTGGGGTAACCCAGTATAATATTAAGAATAAAGACAATGTCCTTTAAATAGATTTATAATTCTTGTTTGAAGTGATCAAATAAAATGGCATTGTGTTATAAAGATGAAGAAACAATTGTTGACTTAAGTGTCATGTCTATGAAATGTCTTTTCTATTCAATGTCTGGTCAATTAAATGTCTAATGTCTAATGTGAAAAAATGACAATTATACAATATATACACCAATGCATTTTTCATTTATTTTAAACATTATTTGACTCAAATTTGAATTAACTCTTGATGATATTTCTAAATCAATTTGAATAAATCATATTAGAACAGTTGAATAATTTACTCCGCCTTCTTTACAGAGAGGATAAATAATTACTGAACTATAACATTGACATAATTTGGCCATATCCCCCCCCCCCCCCCCGTTCTGGAAAATACCGTAAGCCGGCCTTGTCAGAGTAATACCGTAAGGTACAGGTATAGCAGGTTAACGAAACGGAAGTTTTTGAAATTAACGGAAGAGTCCTGTAACGAACAGGAAAAATCGAAAAATGTTAAATCGTTAACTAACAGAAATAATGGTTCTTGAAAAAAATAAGCTGTTGAAAAAAAATATGATAATGATTATTAGCCTGTTATCTATATTTGTCTATGTGCCCACATACTCTCTGTTATATATTTTGTCTATGAGCCCGCCTACTGGCTGCCACACCCGCCCTGCTATCATATATCTGCTAGATTGTAGGCGTTCTACTGACATACTGCGAACTGCAATCATTAACTATATACTTTTCAACAAACATTAAAAGTAAAAGTTGCTTGGTCTTTTGTGCGCTGCGTTGCGCGCCCTATTTTGTAAGCCTTATTTCAAGTGACCCTCCATGCAAACTAACAATGCCCGTTTTACAATACTACCCATAAAGCTCACTGCAAAATAGAAAGAAGGAGCAGTTGCTTTGGGAGGAAGGGTTCAAAATTAGAGAGAAAAGATTATAAGTTTGGGAGGATGCATTCAAATATTGGTAGAAATGATTCAAAATCAGAAAAAAAGATTTGAACATTGGTAGGAAGGAATCAAACCCAGAAGAAAGCATTCCAGCTTTGAGAGGACGAAATAAACTTCCGAAGGATTCAAACTTTCGGATTTATGATGCAAGCTTTGGGAGGAAGGTTTTAAATCTTGAAGAGAAGAAATGAAACGTCGGGAAGAAGGATTCAAGTTTTGAGAGGAAGGATCTAAACCTTGGGGAAAAAAGTTAAACCTTGGGACTTGGGAGAAGGGTTAACACCTGGGAAAATTGAACAAACCTAGAAAAGAAGAAAAAATATTCCTAATTTGCGTTTCCCTTATTGTTG